TTGAGAGCACAGTTACCTCTTCGGCAGCGACGGCAGGTTTGCTGTAATTCTTGGAGCTATACATACAGCCAAACAACTCAAGTGACCGATCGATGGACTCCGAGTTTAGGACACAATTCTGTGGCAAATCATAAGATAATTAGGAATCCATACAAAAATCTTAAAATTTTATCCTAGCTATTCTACTTACATGTATTAGATTGCCAATACACTCCTGTACCCCGTGCTGGCACGTGAAGTTGACATCAAATGTACCATCAGTGTGGTTGACCCTGGCCACCTTAGCCCAACCAAAGGGCACCAACTCTACAGACATGATAGACTGTAACTTCTTGTAATTGGGGATCAATTGAGTGGTGAGAAACTGTTTACAATCGGGACAAAGACTCTCGTAATAGACATTGAGCTGAACGAGTGGTTCGGCACTGGACTCGGATATGCCTACAATTGCCAGCAAAAGGGGCGCTAAATATATGACATACATATTGTCGTATGAAATACTAAATCAAATATTTAGTTATTAAAAGTTTGTTAATTTACTAAAATGTTAAGCAAGCAAATCTTTGATTTATTTTATACAGTACTTTCAAAATATAACTTGTTATTTAAATATCACGTGAGAATATAATTTATATCAAACACTTGATATCGTGTGATAATAAGCATATTGAATGTCTATATGATCTAATACGTGGTAACCCATGTTTATCCCATTTTCCATAGTACCCCTACCCCATAGCCATCAGGCAAATCACATGCACTTTGGTTTTATTGACTGAACGCGTGGTTCATAATTAGTTAGACCTGGATGGCGTGTGAATTACTTACACTGCACCTATTTTCAGATATAATTTTCAGAGATTTTAATTAAAAACTTATCAATTGATTATTAGGGTACATTTAATCGTATAATTATGTTTTTCTAAAAATTATTTTATGAGTCATTTAATAAAGCCTTGAAAGCAATTAATACGGATTAAAATGTTTTAATTTAAGATTTTTATTTCAATTTTAATATGAAATACCTTAGCATTCAAGTCTTATCATAGGGTCCTTAAGTGTTTTGAACTTTAATAAAGATTTTGTGAACAGTGCACTGCCAACAATGGAATTCATATATTTATTCTTATAGTACACGAATTGTGGCATACAAATAATTTAACTTACTATGCTAATTATAACAATTTGCACAATAAAGTTATTTAATTTAATTCTCAATTCTCTATACAATTTACTATAAATTTAAAAGATTATTTAATATTTATATTAAGAATATTAATATAATATTGTTATGTTATATTTTATGTTAGTTTTAATCAAATTGTATATTAACAACAAGGACAATAAATATAGTTAAGAGCAAACCAATTGTATCCTTAACATAATTAATTAATACTGTATGTTGATTATTAACCCATTATTATATAATACTTTTAATTTATTAATTATATCTCATGACACATAAATTAATGTTCCATTCTATTTAATATCCTGATTAAATTAACAGATAACGGTAAATGAGCATGTTACATACATAAATGAAATAAGATGGTCAATACAAACAAATAGTCACATAAACCCGGGAAAATAGTTTTATCCTAAAGTGATTCATACCGGATCAGATAAACATCAATTTAAATAAAATATACCCGCTTGATTAAACAGTAATTTTAAACACCAATTGCCTTTTTAATAGTTGGCACAATTATGACATAATTTAAATTGATATATAGGTTAACTTAATGATAGTGAAAGGACACTAATAATTATTGATTGTAATAAACACCGGGAACAAATGTACCATATTTGAT